ATGGGTAACACGCCCTAGACGAGCATGATCGTGACACATAGGATCTTAACCATAATTTAAGAACTTCGAATAATCAAATTAACTCGTTGCTATAAAATGACTTAAATTGATTAAATTACTTTGATCCTTACTAGCATGATTGAACTTGTTTAATATGATGCATGAGCTAAGTATCCTACAAGATGATTATGAGATAGAATATAGTAATAAGAGATGTGCTTGACTCGTATAAGACACGATGGAATGCATGCGTTGAACATGAGTCTTTTGTGGGAAACACTTGCATTCTTTATTTAGTCCAATTAAGAAGAATTACAAGACAATTCGTGGAAACTACTACACTTTATTTTGCAGTTGGGATTGTTTGGATAAAAAACTTAGTGGGAGGAGGGATACTTATACTAGAGGCGAGACAGTTTATGTAATGACCCTATTTCTACTACAGAAATAAAGTCGCTATTGCATGCCTGACTTAATTACAAAACCCAAAAAAGTCTTAAAACGTTTCAAAATGATGTTATGGGCTTAAATGTTTATAAAATTCATTTAATTAAATATAAAAATGAGTGAAATAGCGGAAACGAAATCATGTCAAGTTCAAAGAAATAAGAACTCCCTTGTCTAATCTAAGAGCTGCAATTTAAACAGAAATGCAACTATTCTAACTTTGATTTCATGGCCTTCACAGCAATGTTGTCATCCGTACAAGGGTACCTTACCTTTACTTAAAAATAAAAGTAGTACATTGCTTGAGTATTTTAAAGTACTCAATAAATAACCCCACTATTAGGGTCTGGAAATGCAATCACATGCAATCATGATTGACACCTATCCTTTCATCATCAGCATGGTCTTGGTCTCACTTTCCAGTCCCGACCAAATTGGATTTGCAATATTCCTCTACACAGCCTACGAATACGCGCATCAGCGCCAAGGCAAGCTCGTACATGTGTCCCCTAGACCTGGTGTGAGATCGTTGGTTGGGGAGGAGAACAAAGCATTCTTTATAAAGATGTGGAAACCTCTCTCTACAGACACGTTTTTAAAAACTTGAGGGAAAATCAAAGAGAACAATATCTGCTAGCGGTGTGCTTGGGTCGTTACACCTAGCCTTCAGCTAGTGTACAGTCACACTACTACAAAAATCATGAGGGAAAAGAGCGTGCATAACATTATGATTATGATGTACATAATATCGTAATATAACATTGAGTGTACACATCCATATTAAACAAAGTAGGAAGTATCTCGATGCACGTGAACATACAAGATGCATGAGGTCCCATAACTTTAAATCGTGACCTGTTTCTATGATACAAGTTATACCTCCGTTCATTTCATAACATAACTTAATCATTTCATGTCAACCTGTAATGTACATGGAATAACACTCTCCATGACATAGCACAAATTCACGTAACATGAATATATCAATATGATATTCAATAACTAACATATCTCATAACACATCATAACATAACATAAGGAATTCTATAATATAGCATATTCATATCACAACAATAGTCTAACCAATAGGCATCAAATAATCACAAGAAATGACACGTGCAGGGGTCATAGGACATGGGTCGTTCATACTTCAAACAATACATCTAACTAAGCTAAAAGTAAAGCCAATTAACTAATTGGACAAGGCTATAGTGATTATTTATTCTTGATACTAGACTGAATATGCTCCTTAAAATCCAACATCCATCATCTTGAAGATATCAGTTAAAATAGAACGATCACAGGGACCATCCATCTTATAGTCCAATTTTTGAAGATAAAGAAATATCTCGACATATCTACTCTATTGGATGTCGCCATGAAGTGGTACCAGATAGCCAACTTTCTAGTATAAATCCTCCATTAATAGTTTTAGTTGCGTACTTTCTTGAGCTGCTCTAGTTACTTATTTTTTTCACGAAGAAATTGTTTTCGAACTGAGTTGGAACATATATCTAATGGTTGATCTTCTGATATTGTGGTCTACTACATAGTTAACATTGTAGTATCCAACTAGCTTGCAATATTCGTTTCTTTTGTACAAAAAAAAAAAAAAATCGTAGTTGATTGTAACTTTGACATATCTGAGGATGGATCGAGTCAAATTCTCAAATCCTTTTTGGTTGGTTCATGTAGATCTCCTAGTTCAGCTCTTCGGGCAAGAAAGCCTTTTTCACATCCATCTGCCATAAACCTATAAATTCATAATCAAATAATTATACTTTATTAGTTTTTCTTTATTTGCCAAAGTGACCGCAAACGTAGGATAACTATGACCTTTCTTGATAAACCGTCTTAATGAGGCCAAATAGATCTGACTTACAAGGTCAAAATTGTAGACTGCCTGGTGTGACATATGATCTAATGATAATGATCTCCAAGAAAATTAAAATTATAAACTAAGCTAAGTCAAGAAAAGCAACTAACGTGAGTTCAAACATTATTAAAATAATAATAAATAAATAAAACTTAGCTTTCATGTCACTTTTTTTTCTTTATTTTTTATTTTTTTTTCTTGGCTCTAATGTCTTTTTCTTCTTCTCTTTTTTAATTAATCATTTTTTTAATAATACTGTTGAAACCCTCGACGTTTCTAAGTCTTAGAGTGTGAAGGTAGTCTCATAGGAAGGAGTAGGTGTTGGATATGACCCACGATCAAAATATAAGGAAACAAATAGATTAAACATAAATAAAAATTTGAGGGGAGAGATCTTTGGAACAAGAAAATCGTAAGCACTTATGTTTTTCAATTCTCTTTGTTGTAATTATGAATAAATCATACATCTCACGAGTATTTAAGGTGGAGATAGCACTAACAAATTTCTTACATTTTCTCCCCGAGTTAAAACCACTAACAATATTCTTGAATAAATCACTAAACTTGCTTGAGTTCAACTTAGTTCCAGATTTTTCAATCCTAATAATTAGGGTTGGATTCATTTTTCTGAACCCAAATTGAATCGGTTCGGTATCGAGTTCGTGGGTAAAACCTTCGAATTGACCCGAGCCAAATATAAATATATAAAACATATTAAGAATTCTTTTATATTAATAGGTTTGACATGGTAGGGAGGTATAAAGGTCTAAAGACACTCATCATGCTTGAGTTTTGACAACCGACAAATACATGTTTTTTTAAATTATTTATTTAGTTTTGTTCCATTTCTTTGATATATATATATATATATATTTTAAATATCTTAATATTTTATACTATTTTAAAACGCATTAGAATGGACTAATATATAACTATTAATTCATGTTATAATATTTTTAAATAATTATTCACACCTATTTTAAAAGTTTCGAATTGGGTTGGGTTACTCATCCAACCAACCTGAACTTTGGGTTGGGTCAAAAAATCCTCCAATCCAACTCAGACCATGTACACCCCTGCTAACAATTCCTGCATCTCTACAAACTTAACCCTGGTTAGGGCTTTGGTGAGAATATTTGCATGTTGCTCTCTGGTGCATATGAACTCCACAGTGATTTTTCTCTTTTCGATACACTCACAGATGAAATGGAAGCTAGTGTCAATATGTTTACTGGATTCGTGAAATACTGGATTCTTCATCCATGCAATCGTAGACTTGTTGTCAACGTAGAGAGTTATCAACTTTAGTTCACTTCTTGTCACTTCACTCAACAAAATTTCTCAACCACAATGCTTGGCATGAGACTGCAGTAGCTGCCATGAACTCGGTCTCACAAGAAGATAGCATCACAATTCGCTGCTTCTGAGATTGCCAAGAGATCAAATTTTCTGTTGAGATAAAATGTCATTCTTGCCGTACTCTCTCTACTGTCAATATCTTCAGCTAAATCACTATTGGTAAAATCGTCTGGTTCTTCAAGACCTCGTCCTCTAATGCTTCAACCCGCAAATTGTGGTCATTTACTCCGGTGCAAGAGATTATGCAACGAAGCACTGCATCATTTCACTTGTACGTGAGATTTATATCGTAATTGTAGAACATCACAATCTACAATATTCTATGAAGATTAATCTTTTGCTTTTCTACTTTTTCATTCTCTTTGAATATTTGCAATAGTACGAGTTGAGGTATACGTCAAGAGAATTTAATCAAATTAAAGTGCGCAAGTGATGCATTCTTTTGCATGCATGTGTGATGTAGGTCATATATATGAATTATACCGAGCTAACTACGAATTGTGAAAGAGAATATTTTCCTTCCTATTTTGCCCTTGAAATTTCTATTTTATCATTTTATTCAAATAATTAAATGATTGGTGTCAAGATGTTCCTCGAAGGAACTTAATCTAATGGAAGTGGGTACATATCGAATTAGTGCATTCTTTTATGTATAGGTATGATCTAGATAGCAGATGTGAAACATCACGGTCTAACCGTTAGCCTTCCTATTTTGCCCTTAAAATTGTTTTAAATCTCCATTTTCTCATACGTTTCAACTTTATAAGCCAGTTAGACGATAAAAGCAGTGCATTTTTTTTTTTTGATATTCGTATACGAGATTCACCTCAACAAGTTAAGAACATGAAAATAAAAATGGTTGCAATGTGTATATTACAAAACCAAAATATTATTATATTGTTCAACAAATTAATTGCTAGCACAACTTTTTAGTTTGTAATGTATGGAAGAATTTGTATGAAAAGGGTATAATACGAAAACCTTAACATAAAAATTGTTATCTAAGTTTTAAAAATGTGGCAATTAAATAAAATTATATAATAAAAGCTATTGTTATTATTATTTTTATAGTTTTATAATTAGCTAAATTAATATAAAAAAAATATTCAACTTTGTGTTATTTCTTAAAATATCCTTAAACTTCTCAAAAAAAAAAAAAAAAAAAAACTTATACCTGTCATAGGTATTGATATTTATCCAAATTTTGTTTTCTCATCAAATCCTTCTAGAGCCCAAACCTCCATTTCTCCCACCCGTTGTCCCCACTATTACTCCTCCACCGGGAGAGTTTATAAATAAATACTGATCTGGATTACGTATGGAAAATATTGAAACCGTCCTTTCGAGTAGTATCGTTGCTGTCTTTTTTGCAGCTTTTGTTGTTGCTGGAACTATGTGGTATGGTTCAGTAGCACAGGAGAACGTTCTTTTGCTGATATTATCACCAGTATTCCATATTGGGTCATTCATAGCATTACTATACAAAAAAAAAAAAAAAAAAAAAAAAAAAAAACTAAAAGATATCAAGTTACTTTTGGATAGAACGGTTAACACTTTATTCTAAAAATACTTTTAATTTTAAGGGTTTAAAAATTACCTTTCTTTAGCTTAAAACTTTTTTTTTTAAATCTTAAAAACGCTTTAAACTAAAAAAAAAAAAAAAAAAAAAACTAAAAGATATCAAGTTACTTTTGGATAGAACGGTTAACACTTTATTCTAAAAATACTTTTAATTTTAAGGGTTTAAAAATTACCTTTCTTTAGCTTAAAACTTTTTTTTTTAAATCTTAAAAACGCTTTAAACTAAAAAAAAAAAAAAAAAAAAAACATTTTAAAACTTAAAAATTAATATTGAAAAGTTGGAAGATATTCTATGAGATGCCCATATACAATTGTTGTCCATATATTGACAACAAGAATTTTTTTTATAAAAGTAAAAAGTGTTAATGTTACTGAAAATGTTTACTTAATCCACTACACTTTTACGTGTGAAAATTCTCTATGAAAATAGTAATAAATGGAAAGGACAATATAATGAAAGACACCTACGCTAATAAAGCAAATATCTATATATTTGCCTTTAATAAAATATCAAATATGATATATATGGTAAAATATAATTTAGTATTAAATATTCTCAACGACAACTTTTAAAATTTTATAAATATTTTTAAATATAAACTCCAAGATATTTTTGAATTTTTTTTAAAAAAAATTAAAGGATATTAATATGATTTTTTAAAATTTAAGAATATTTTTAAAATATTACTAAAAATACAAAATAATAACAGATTTTTTAAAATATTATTTAAATATTTAAAAGTTTAATGATATTTTTATCGAAAAATTAGGAATTTTTTAGAGATCAAAAGAAATGGAAAAGGAAAAAGCTTCCGTTGTGTCATTCTTTCTAGGTGTACATTCAACTTGACAATTCGGACCAACTAGTTGGGTTGAATTAGCTATTCGAGTTAGTTTGGGTTCATTTTTTCTGAACTCAAACTGACTCGGTTTGGTTTCGTGTTTCAAGGACAAAATTCTGGAGTTGACCCAAGCCATAAAATTATATAAAATATAGCGTGAAATTTACATTAATTTTGGGTTTGTTACTTTCCATTTTGACCTATTTCCGACGTAAATTTGTTTCCATTCAGACACGGCCGATTCACCACGCCGTTTAGGTCTTCCGTCTCCTTTTACATGTGCACCTCTCCCTTTTCCTGTTCTTCGGTTTGATCTCTGTGTTAACTTGATCGAAGCAAGGTGGATCAATTGGCCGCTTGACCTCTTTCAAATTCTCTCAGGCAACTCTCTAATCTGTCGCTTTCGCTTTTTTTTTTTTTCATTTCTTTAACTGTTCATCGGCCATCGCACGTCTCCCCTCTCCCTTACATTTGCTTATTTCTAGGGCTTTACAGATCATTCAGCTTTCCATGTCTCAATGTGTTAGGCTGCTAAGTTCCTCATTATTTGACCTTTTTGCTGGAGTTGGAGAAGTGTACGTGGTTTTTATTACGCTAGAATTGTTGTTTTAAATGATTTATGAGTTATTGTCCATTCAATGTGGTTTGTTCATTGCTGCTTTCCACAAAAATGTATTCGACCAATCTAAACTAGATTTCAAATAAGCTACAAAAGGTCCCATGTCTCTACGTTTGACCACTTCTATGTTTTTGGGTTCCTCTAATGGTTAGAGGGCTCCATAGACCTTAGGAGAGGCTCTATAATGTACTCTGTTCGACGAGAGGATTGTTGAAGATTGTTGGGACAGGAGTCCCACGTTGGGTCATTTAGGGAATGATCATGAGTTTATAAGTAAGGAATACCTTTCCATTGGTATGACTCATTTTGGGGAAGCCCAAAGCAAAGCTATGCGAGTTTATACTTAAAGTGGACAATATCATACCATATTAGAGAGTCGTTATTCCTAACACCTCCAATGGTCGTATCTTGTTTACTGCTTTATTGTATTTATGTTGCTGTCGCCATCTTACTATCAGCCTGGCTGATGAAGTTTTTAAACAAAAAAAAGAAATACGATATGTGTGTGTGTGTGTGATGTATAGTTTTATGCATTAAAGTTTTCTTGCTGTTTCACTTTCCCTGCGATTTGTATAATGGCAGGAAGTTGATACTCGAGGGTTGATTTTTCTTAAAAGGGATTGTTGAGCCAATTTGGATTGTCTTGAATGATTATTGGAAGTGTATGATGTTGGGATCTGGGAATAATTCAAATCGAGGAAGTAAATTTCAACCATAAAATATGTAAATTGTCATGGGTTTGCTTTGGGTTTCCCCAAAAGGTTTATACCTTTAGAGATGTATTCCTTACTTATAAACCCATGATCATTCCCTAAATGACCCAACGTGGGACTTCTCTCCCAACAATCCTCCTCTCGAACAAAGTACACCATAGAGCCTCCCCTGAGTTCTATGTAGTCCTCAAACAACCTCCCTTAATCGAGCCTCGACTCCTTTCTCTGGAGCCCTCAAACAAAGTATACCCTTTATTCGACACATGAGTCACTTTTGACTACACTTTCAAGGCAAACAATTTCTTTGTTTGACATTTGAGGATTTTATTGACATGGCTAAATTAAGGGCGTGACTCTGATACCATGTTAGAAACTATGAACCTTCACAATGGTATGATATTGTCCACTTTGAGCATAAGCTCTCATGGCTTTGCTTTTGGTTTCCCCAAAAGGTCTCATACCTATGAAGATGCATTCTTTACTTATAAACCCATGATCATTCCCTAAATTAGCTAACGTTGGGAGTCCTCCCAACAGACTGTCCTTTTGGAGTAGTCCATCTGAAATGTTCACCCCCAGTGGCATCAAAGGAGCTGAAACATTTTAAAGATAGTGTGCAAGATTCATCTAGAAAGGCCAGGTAAATGTTCTTTTATTTTCTTTTAATTTTTTTTTTCATAACAAATCCATTATAGATGAATATTTGATATCCTCCCAATCCCAAAGTGGTGATTTTCAGTTGCCATAGATGAAAGAGGGAGATGAATTGATGAAGTTCTTATCTAAAGAGGCAATGAAACAAAGATCATGTTAAAGCTGAAACATGTTCTTATCCACTCCTAGAGTTTTGTTATTTCTCTTAGCCTGATCCCACTAGTTCAGATACGAGTACCATATCAAAGAACGAACTTGAAGGTGAGCTTCCACTGAAGGGTCGTTCATATATATTGGAACACTAGGTATGCAGGACTGCGATTGTATATATTTTCATTATCTCAATATTGTGTTGTCACTCAAGACTACGGAGTCTAGTAGTGTTGACATTTTTTACTAGTAGTGTTGACAGCAATACCATGATGTTTTCTTCAAGTGCTGTGGATGAAGCTGTGTCTTCTGTTTTGTCTGCGAGGATGCAGAGGAAGAAAAGAGTACTGGTGAATGAAAAGGGGATGGTGTGTGAAAACAAGGAAGGAGTGGAAGGGGTCCTACTGTAACAGAATACCCAAGCCCAACACTAGCAGATATTGTTCTCTTTGGACTTTCCCTTTTGAGCTTCCCCTCAAGGCTTTAAAACACGTCTGTAGGGAAAGGTTTCCACACCCTTATAAATGGTGTTTCGTTCTCGTCCCTAACCAATGTGGGATTCTCACAATCCACCCTCTTCGGGGCCTAGCGTCCTCGCTGGCACTCGTTCCTTTCTCCAATCGATGTGCGACCTCCACCAAATTCACCCCCCTTCAGGACCCGGCGTCCTTACTGTGGCACACCGCCTCGTGTCTACCCCCTTAGGGGAACAACCTCCTTGCTGGCACATTGTCCGGTGTTTGACTCTGATACCATTTGTTGCGGCCCAAGCTCACCGCTAGCAGATATTGTCCTATTTGGGCTTTCCCTTTCGAGCTTCCCCTCAAGGCTTTAAAACGAGTCTGCTAGGGAAAGGTTTCCACGCCCTTATAAATGGTGTTTTGTTCTCCTCCCCAACCAATGTGGGATTTTCACAATCCCCCCCTTTAGGGTCCAGTGTCCTCGCTAGCACTCGTTCCTTTCTCCTATTGATATGAGACCCCCACCAAATCTACCCCCTTCGGGGCCCAACGTCCTTACTGGCACACTACCTCGTGTTTACCCCCTTCGGGGAACATCCTCTTCGCTAGCACATCGTCTAGTGTCTGGCTCTGATACCATTTGTAACGGCCCAAGCCCACCGCTCGTAGATATTGTCCTCTTTGGGCTTTCCCTCTCAAGCTTCCCCTCAAGGCTTTAAAACCTGTCTACTAGGAAAAGGTTTCTACACCCTTGTAAATGGTGTTTCATTCTCCTCTCGAACCAACGTGGGATTCTCATGTATAGCCATTGGTGAGAGATAAGTCAGAGAGCCCATTTGCAGAAAAACTACTCCACAACATGAAGCCTAGCTCTGGGAAAATTAGAAGGTATCTGAACTCATATTACTTTTGTTTCCAAGGCATTATGCTTGTGTCATAATCTCATATTTTATTTTTATTTTTAAAATTAGCAAATCAGGTCGTCCGCCATCTAAAAAACTAAAAGATCGCAAGGCTTCAGCTCACATGGAGTTAACTTGCCGCTCCTCGGATATCACAGGTAACCACATCAGTTTAATTCACAGTTCATTGAATTAATCTTTCTTATGATCTAAGTCACTTATCTGCACTCACTAATTTTCTAAACTTAATTAGTGACGTCACTCAAGAATATATAATTTACTGTGCTCATCATAACTCACCTTGGAATACATAACAAATTCTTTCACAAAGGTCCAAAAATTCAAACATACCTATCTCTGAAAATAAATCCTTCCATAACTGAATTCAAAATAAATATAAATAAAACAATGTTCAATGCTTTAACTTAAAATAGTGAAATAAACGTAAACTATTAAAAATGTCTCTCGTCCACTTCCATGGTGTCCTCAGCTCCACCGTCAACCGTACATTCTTGCCTTTACCTGAAAAAAGTCACTCACAAAAAGCTAATTCCAACGGTTAATTAAGTCCTCTAATAACCACATAAATTATAAAAATTTAGGAACCTTTCATAACATACCCTAGCTAAATCTCATTTTATTTATCACAGCACAATCTGTCTTTGACGGTTAGGAACCATACTGACCTCAGATGGTAAAAATAAGGGCAGAAATGGTTTCGAGAGGGCTGAAAAACCTTGGAATCGATATATTATAGTGATACCAAGTCGATAAGCCGAGCCATCGAGCCAACACCCGAGTCGACGAGCCGAAAACGATGGAGTCGAGCTGCTTAACGCTCGTGGGATTCTCTGGACAATCGTTTGCAAAGTTGGGCCGCCAACGGAAATGCAGCCTGTTATTGTTTGGGCCGAACTGGAGGCTGAGCGCGAGGCGGGTTACTCGACCCGCTTCGTCGTCTTCCTAACCTGCAACCATGCAAAACTCTAACTTGGCGTTGCGCCGTCAATGACGCAGCTGTCCTACTTCGATTCCGACTTTCACTTCTCCTGACGGGCATGAGGCAACACGACCCACCGCGATCCAACGTCTCGTCTCCCCAACCCTAATAGATTTCGACCCCTTCGTCGATTCTCCCTCCAGACAGCAAGGTCACTTGTTCCGACAACTCACCGAAAAACTCGCGAACCAACCCACACGATTTTCCCTCGAACACTCTCGATTTTCCCATTCTTTCAGACACCCTCGAACATAGAAACGAGGTTGGAGAGCAAAAGTCATTTTTTCAAGGAAAGAGAAGGGTTAAATATAGGAATATAAAGGGTCTCATAACATTAAGGTAATAACTTTCTTGTCAGAAATTGCGCACCTTTTTCGACGAGAATAAATGTATAGCATAATATCTTTTAATGTTTGCAGCAAAAATAAAATCTAAAAGAAATAAAATCCGAACCCTTCCATTATCCCCTAAAAAGGACTTTCGTCCTCAAAAATCTCTATAGCCAGAAATAACTCTGGATACTTCTCTTTGATATCATCTTTTCGTTCCCATGTAGCCTCCTCCATTGGTGGATTTTATTTCTTTTAGATTTTATGTTGAGGTTTTATTTTTGCCGCAAAAAATGAAAAGATATTATGCTTTGCATTTATTCTCGCCGGAAAAAGTGTGCAATTTCCGACAAGAAAGTTATTACTTTAATGGAAATGTTATGAAACTCTTTATATTCCTATATTCAACCCTTCTCTTTCTTTAAAAAACGACTTTTGCTCTCCAAACTCATTTCTGTGTTCGAGGGTATCTGAAAGAACGGAAAAATCGAGAGTGTTAGAGGGGAAAGCGTGTGGGTTGGTTCGTGGATTTTTCGGTGAGTTTTCGGAACAAGTGACCTTGTTGTCCGGAGGGAGAATTGACGAAGGAGTCGGAATCGATTAGGGTTGGGGAGACGAGATGTCGGATCACGTTGGGTTGTGTCGCATCGTGCCCGTTGGGAGAAGTGAAAGTTGAAATCAGAGTAGGACGGCCTCATCGTTGACGGCGCAACACCGAGTTAGGGTTTCGCGTGGTTGTAGGTTAGGCAGATGACGAAGCAGGCCGGGTCCCGCCTTGCACTCAGCCTCCAGTTCGGCCCAAATAGTAACGGGCTGCGTTTTCGTTGGTGACCCAACTCCACAGACGAACGTCCAGAGAATCCTGCGGCTTCGCACGCGTAACGGCTCGGCTCCCACGTGCATTAAGCGGCTCGACTCCATAGTTCTTGGGTGTTGGCTCGGCTTATTGACTCAGTATCACTATAATATACCGATTACAAGGTTTTCAGCCCTCCCGAAGCTGTTTCTGCCCTTATTTTTACCATTTGAGGTCAGTATGGTTCCTAAATTTTTATGTGGTTATTATAAGACATAATTAACTTGTTTTGAGTGACTTTGGCCAAGGCCATCGAGGTAAGTGATCTTACTGTTGGAGTTAGCTTATTGTATGTGGTATGATGGTGCGTGCCCTGTGACCCCTACATGCACCATATTTTATGTGATATAACTATATGATGTATGGATTATGTGACTGTTTTACGCTATGAAAAGTTATGGATTATGTTGATGGGTTACGCTATGAAAAGTTATGGATGATGTTGACTATAGAATGTTTATGCTATGAAAAGGTTGTTGATCTGCTAGTATTATATGCTATGAAAATGTTGATCGATGTCATGGATACACGTAGGATTATCGAGTCATGTCATGAAATGCTTATGGAATTGGAATGTATTTTCATGTGATGTAATATGTCATCTAATGTAAGTTATGTGATATGTCATCTAATGTAAGTTATGTGATATGTCATGTAATGTAAGAAACATATATATGATGTTAGCAATGCTTATGTTAGGTATGTTAAGGGATCTCATGCATATATATATGTCACTTGCATCGGGATACTTCTTCTTTATGTTACGAATAAATGAAATATGATATTTATGTTCGCCATGATATCATGCGGGCCCTTTTCTGTTCTATGGTGTCTGGCGACGTGTAATACGTTGTGCCTGACCAAGCCAGGTCGGGTACGTATACGAGCCCACCTGGTGAGTCCATGTACGCGTACATGGGTCGTGTGTGTAGGAGTACCACACATCTAACCCTACCCGGAAAAGAAAAGCGCCCAAGGCCATGTAAAGTTTACAAAAAGTTAGGTCGCGCTCATATGTTGCATGTGTTTGCATGTGTTTGCATTTCTAACCCCAACATTTGGGTGACTTATTGAATATTTCATAAAATACTCAAGTCACATGTTAGGTACATTTTTCAGGTAAAGACAAGGCGCCAATAGTTGACGGTGGAGCTGAGGACACCATGGACGAGGGGCATTTTTAGTTGTTTACATTTATTTTACTGTTTTAAGTTAAAGCATTGAACATTGTTTTATTTATATTTGTTTTGAATTTGGCTACGGAAGGTTTTATTTTCAAAGATAGGTTTGTTTGGATTTTTGGAACTTTGTTGTGTTTTCCAATGTGATTTACGATGAGCTTTCGTGTAATGAGTTATGTATTCATGGGTGATATCACTAATTAGGTTTAGATAATTAGGGGCATTACATGTTTTATGTTTCTAGTTTAGTATAACGACCCTAAATTCCTACTAACCTAATGTCGTTATCGTCGTCACAATATATTCTCTTATGTGGAAATAAACATTTAAAACTTTATCATAAAACATTGTCATAGACTTATATGGTTGAAAACATTTTTAAAGCAACATAACTAAATACGAAATATAACAAATAAACATTAAAAGTAAACACACTTTATACTAACATAAAGTCTAAGAAATGAAATATCATTATCTTATGCATGTGTTATGGTTTTCACTTGCGATGTTGTTAGTCGTACAAGGCTGTCTTGCTTTTACCTGAAATAGAAGTAGCATACGGCTGAGCTGTCTTGCTTTTACCTGAAATAGAAGTAGCATACGGCTGAGTAAGTGACTTCACTATTGGGGTCAGGAAATACAAACACACGTCATTCATGCTTAAGAATCTATCGTTAAAAACCATCATAAGGGTTGCCTCTAGTCCGAACTAAATTGGATGTGTTGTACTTTTCTACGCACAACCCACACGTGCGAGTGTGAGTCCCCAGGCGGTTCACACCCCCCTAGACCCATCATAGTCGGGCTAGTTGTCCATCGCCAGACGTTCAAAGGTCAGCAAACCCTTAAGTATCATGCGAGACATGATATAATCATCATCATCATCAGCATAGTGTACGCGTTCATATTCATCATCGAAGTGTACGCATTCGTATTCATCATCGAAGTGTACGCATTCGTATTCATCATCATAAATGGGAAAGTAACCTGATCGCTTATGGATGTATATAATAAAATGAGGTAAAATTCACAAGAATAAATGCAAGTATACACTATCACAAGTAGCAAGTAATAAGTAAATTATCGATTCCACAGGGAACCTATCTTTTTTGTTAATTTTATCGCTGGAAATTGAGTTTTTGGGTAATATTCATATGGACGTTGGTGATTTTAACTACTTAAACAAAACTAAAACAGAGTGTACTGCTGTCGAAAAACAGAAAATGATGAGAAAATCAACTATAATGAGGAAAGATTAAATAGACAAGTTGTTGAGTTTTGTGGTAGATTTTAGTTCCTTTTAATAGATTCCCGAGCCAACTTCCGAGGGTCATGAATGGTGATTATTTACATAATCGTTGTAATTTCTATTAACAAGGCTCTAGGAGAAAAATTATTCATAACTCTTCTATTACCCTTCGAGTCTCCTTGCTATGGAACTAGAGTATTAAAGAGGATTTCATTGCTCCCTCTCTTCTCCCGAATAAGAGAACAACTATGTATGTAAAGTAGCTAATTAAACACACATGTAAATCATTAACAACAACTCTTTAATAAACTAAAATCATACCGTCAACATACTTAAACTATATAAAACTCTCTCGCCTCCCCTATAAAGTTTAGCTCTCCATACAAACTAAATTAAACAGAGGAATCCGCATCTTTATCATGTAAAATTGATGGAATAAGAAAAGAGAATAAGGAAATAGAGAGTTATCCCGGTTTGTTGCCGTTCGTCAATGGAAGTTCCCTTCTCTTGAGCTCTCACGTCCACCTCTTTGCCCTAATCAATCCTTGTTGGTCTCCTTTTCCTTCTGTTGTCAACTGCAGTAGAGGTTGCTGCTGTGTAATTCGATTTTTCTCCCCAAAGTGTGGCTCCCCTCCTCCTGGTCTTCCTTTTTCTTTTATAGTGAGCATGGGTTCCCCTTTAGACCTGAAAAGGAATAAGTAGTCCACAGAGGATGTTCCTCATTGGGTAGTTAATGACCCACTTGGACTGCTGACGTGGATTTAAAATTTCCATGTCATCGCCGATTTGTTTCCAAATTTGCTACTCCCACATGGTTTAGCATAAATGTCTGAAATTTTACCATATAACTCAATTAAATATACATCGATTTATGCCAAATCATATTTTTTTCATGTTGGATCGCAATAAACGATTTCATGCTCACTAAGTAGAATAAATGGGATAATAAATGAGTAAATGGTGAATAAGAGTGCAATATTAACCACAAAAAAAACTTGATATGACTACTTTTAGAGAGTTATCATAACCCAATGTATATGAACACACAATATGTATGAGATTCCTATAGTTTTATCTTTAAATCATTCTTATAATACAACCCTATACATCATTCACATTATCCTAGGTAACAGGCATGCACTGACCTTCATACGCTTATCATCATTAACATGAAGTAGGGTGGTGTCTTAGAAAACTCATCGTCATAATGCATCATGACATTTAATACATGCACATCATCTTAATATGGAATATTATCATATTAAGTCATCTCATCTCTTACATCATCATGCATTATCATCATGTCATCATTTCATATCATCATATACATTATCATATAATAACATCATGTTATCATATAACATCGTCACATTATCACATCATCATATTAGATAAAACATAAATGACATGTGCAAGGGCTACGGGGCACTGTCATCATACATAAAACAAGTCTTCAGATCGAGCCAATAGTAAAACCACTTACATGATTAGTTTAAGCTAGTGTCACCAATTTGATTTTTGTTCTTTGCAATCCAAGTCAACCTATGCGACCCATAACATCAAGTTCAAGTTTAAACTTCTGCACAACTATTTCGCTAAATGTTACCATAGTCCATGTGTTAGACTTCATGCGAAGATTAGACACTTT